CATTATTGGAGCTATGGGCACCAATCTTGCTGCTGCCGCCATTGTTCCACCAATACGCAGAGATACCATTAGTAACGGGGCCGCCGTCTACATCAGATGAAGTATGTGCATAGAAATAGAAAAAGTTGTTTGCGTCAACTGTCTGGCTCCACACTGTGCTCCATTCCTTAAAGCTGTTTGGTTTTATCCAACCGCTCCAGGTATAGCTTTGCGTGGGATCGAGTGTGAAATCATTGTGGTCGGCGATATTGACAAAATCATTTGTGCCATCGAGCGTCAAACCCTGGCTGTATTTCCCTGTAGCCCAAACCGGGCCGTTGGTCAATGTACCCGGGTGATTATTCCCTGAAAGATCGGCCGCGGTAGTACCTGTTCCTTCATTGAAGTTCATTGAAACGATCAGGTTGGTATTGTTGTTCACCGTGATATTCACTCCCGCTGAGGTCGTTATATTACCTGACGAATCACGTGCTCTTGCTGCAATGGTATAATTGCCATTGACAGTAGAGGCACTGTTCCATGAAAGCGTGTACGGGGCGATAGTATCTTCACTTCCGAGGTTAACTCCATTTAGCAGGAATTGCACACCGGCTACGCCAGTGTTATCTGACGAATTGGCTGAAATATTTATTGTACCTGTAACGGGTCCTGCAGCCGGTGAAGTGATAGTCACTGTTGGGGCCTGGGTATCCGGTATATTATTTACAGTAACGATGACGGAAGCAGAGGTAGTTACATTACCTGCAGCATCACGGGCCCGTGCTGTAAGCGTATAAGTTCCATTGGTAACCGTTTTGGTATTCCATGTTGTGGAATAGGGAGAAGAAAGATCTTCTGTGCCGAGATTAACGCCATCCAGCAGGAATTGTACACCAATCACTCCAACGTTGTCTGAAGCATTAGCAGAAACATTTATGGTGCCTGCCACTTCTCCAGCTACAGGAGCATTGATAGTGATTGTTGGGAACTGGGTGTCAGGCGGATTGTTTTGAACAGTAACGACAACCGCTACTGATGTTGTTATATTACCCGCGGCATCACGCGCTTTCGCTGTGAGAGTATGAATGCCGTCAACAATTGTTGTAGTATTCCAGGAAATCGTATAGGGCGCAACAAGATCCTCTGCACCAAGATTATTTCCATCCAACAGGAATTGAACTCCGGTAACACCAACATTATCTGAGGCTGTCGCCGATACATCAATTGTTCCCAATATTGTACCACCGGTTGGAGCTGAAATAGCCACAGTCGGTGCTTGTGTGTCATTATTGACTGTCACCACAACGCCGGTTGATGTGGTGATATTACCTGCCGCATCTCTTGCGCGTGCTGTTAACGTGTAAGAGCCATTGGCGGAGGTAAGTGTGTTCCATGCTACCGTAAACGGTGAGGCTGTATCTTCTGCTCCGAGGTTGGTTCCATTCAACAGGAATTGCACACCTGCGACGCCAACATTATCGGTAGCTGTCGCTGTTACGTTAACTGTACCCGAAACGTTACCTGCAGCAGGTGCTGTGAGGCTGACTGTTGGAGCAGTAAGATCAGGTGCAAGTGGTGAGTTCATGTCTGATTGTACTTCGGTTGAAGAAAGAAGTCGTTTGTAA